CCCCCTGGCTACGTGTATGAAAAGGCACATATCCTAACCAATGTCATATAAAGTAACAAAAAGGCACAAATTCTAATATCCTTTATGTCTATTTGAGTGTTTTTGTAGATTTTGCTACCATGTTAGCATTTGTTTTAGTTTTGTTTTTGATGATAAAGTTAAGTTTTGTTGAGCTCCTTGTATCATGGTTCAGGGAAATGTCAATGATCAGGCAGTCGAGAGAAACAGAAAACTCAGAAGGACTGAATGGACGGTGAGAAAGTTAATTTACGATATTTACACTGGAGTGCTCTGGGTTTGTGCGAATGAAGGAGGACACGGTCAGATTGAGCTGATAGAAATTAGTCAGAGTTGTCGGGGAGTTTGTTTGCTTACAGTCTTCCAAGGGGAGCGGTAGCATGGCGTGAAAGGTGAGGAAGCCCTGATAGGGGGTGGGAACCGGAGGTATGGTTCCAGATGGGGGGGGCGAGGAGCAGGCTGTAGAGTGGGTGTGTGGATCAGTGACGCGGTGAGGTTCATTGATGATGAGGCTCTCAGTTCATCAGAATCAGATTTACAAATATAAGCTGACATCTGTGAGCAACTTGGCCAGCTTCATCTGTGATTAATGAACCTGTAATCTAAACCCTACAGAAAAACTTATCGACCGGCAGAAGTTAACAAGTTATGTTTCATATTTCATATCCATGTTCTTCACACAAACTGTAGCTCACTTGATGCACATTTTCTTAAAAAAAGTTGTTATTATGTCCTACTTTTATTTATAAATGAAGTTCATGCACACACAATATCCCATCTGAGTCCAGATACTGTCACAAGGTGAAAAACGTCGGTGAAAAAAAGATTCTCTCACACAGCCACCCCTTTTCGCTTGAGAAGAGTTTCTGGATTTTGTCTCATCTGTGGAGTATTCACCTGCTGCTTCTATTGAAATACCAGTTTAGAAAATTGTTTGAACTTTAAAATATATATAATCATCCATTCTAAAAGTCAGGTTTGGCAAGAGAGTCAACAAATAATGGATCACTACTGCAATTTACTTTTTTTTACTTTGTTAAAGCTGAACATTTAAAAAACGGGTACAAAAAAACGCTTCACTTGTCTCGCTAACTATAACTTTCTTTTACTTCTTCTGCTGTAACTCAGTATTCTCTGAACTCACTAGCCTGATGCTACATTCACACCAAACACATTTTGAGCATCTAAAACACACCCAACGCCTCAAGTTGGATGTGCTACGTTCAGACCGGAACGAGACTAGACGCACGTCTGAAGACGATTTTATGGGAGGAGCATCCTGTTTTTTTTACGGTCTGTCTTTATGAAATAAAGATGAAATAAAGAAAATGGCTTTGCTTTATTTACAGAGAGAGCAAGCAAACCAGATGATTAGAGATAGAGACATATTATGCTCTCACTGCATAACCTGCAGCAGAGATTGTGCAATCCAAGTGGAGACAGAGTGTAGTTGAAAGGATTGCTTAATCTGTAGGCAGAGCTTGATTTTGCCTCGTAGTCCATCTCATCATGTATTTGAACAGGAAATGAGGAAATTCAGTGATTTTGAATAATAAAAATATTAAAAAGTGTTTAAGTTAACTGAAAATGTGTTTATAGTACAAAGCATTATATAAATACGACAAGATGTGTTTAATATAGTTTTTTTTTTCTTTTTAATTTCCATGATGACAGTATAGGCTCCCCCCCACCCCCCGCCTCTAGTGACCGCACATCACTGGTGTGGATTCAATCACTACACCAGGGGTTCTTAACCTTTTTGACCTCGGGGCCCAATTTGTTGAACATAAAGTGACACGAGGCCCAGTCAGACATTACCAATGTATGGATCAAAATGATTATTATTCTAATATAAATCTGGGTTTAATTTTTATTGTATTTAAAAAGAAAAAAAATTGTTTAGGTCTTCTGGACGGGTTCTTCTTTAATGAAACGTTTCGTCTCTCCTCCAAGAGAC